AACAATTCTGGTGTGCTTATTCGTACCCAAACTTTTAAAAAAATTGAATAGCTATAATTATACATGAACTTAGTTCTGTACGGCAAAAAGCAACATTGACTACTTTTCTGTTAGTCAATTTTATGAATATGTTAACAGAGATGACTGGGATGCCACTGTCAAGATTTTCCTTAAAACAAATATACAAAAATGACAACGTTTTATGTTGGTGAAAATTAAAAAAGAAATAGACAAACGATGTCGTTTTGGTTGATTTTTCAAAAACAAAAAAGTCTATCTACTTTTTTGAGGTAACTTGGAGACTAGATAACTCTTCCCAATATGTTTGTGTCTGAGTATGATAGGAGGACAAATCCATACTCCCTGACGAAGAGAATGCAACTAATGACGAAGCTTGTAGAGTCTTAACAAATTATATTTATGACATCTAGTATGTAAATCCTTCCAAATATCAGTGGCAGAACAAAAATATAAGATATTAGCACTTCTTCTTGGAAACACTGTTAAGCAACCAAGATTTCACCATAGAATTGCATTGACACCAGATTTTGTAATAAGGATCAATCTTTTCAGGAATAGGTATCGAGCCATCAAGAATCTGAAGCTTCGCGATGATCAGAGAAGCCACGAGAGTGCTTGCGATGCGTTTGAGAATCATACTATGGTGGATTAGCAGTTGTACAGTTCGGTATTTGGAATCAAATTTTTGTTTCCCCATCGTAAAAATGGAATGATGATTGAGTGATTTATGTCAATAAGAAAGAACATGTAGCTTGAAAAAAAACTAAGCTAAGTAATGACCTTCACGAATTCAGCCAAACCTAATAATATAGTCTTGATCTTATTCCACCACATATGCACTAACATCCAACAATAAATTACCAGAAAACATCTAAATTCAGTCAAGCCTATATATGTGTTGCGTTGGAACCAGGGCCGTGTCTAGTAAGGCTTAAAAGAAACTTTGGCCTACGGCCCCAAAATTATAAGTAAAATTTAGAAAACAAATTTTGAAATATATTAATTTTATATGGTATATATATTTCTACCATTAATAATACATTTCAACTCTCAAAATTTTTTATGTAGAATCTAAAAAAGTCAACTAATAGATATTACATCTATATTTTTCTAATTTTATAAAGTTTGTTCTTTATATTTATGTATTTTCATTTTTCCATTCTTTAACAATCTTTTTTCTATTTTTTCACCCTGTTATATATCTATTGTTTTTCTTTAAAAAAAATTCTAATTTCTTCTTTATTATATTTAATTTTTAATTTTTACTTACCTGAAAATTTACAATTTAACAAATATATTATATACAACATTGTATCTTATGTATTCAGTTATATATATATATAAAAATCTATCTTTTATAAATGATCCTACTAACATTTTTTCACAAAATTATAGTTATATTTTATATTATTATATAATATTTACCTAATAAAAAAGTTGTATTATTTTTTTTACCTATGGCATCAAAAACCTTATACAGCTCTGGTTGGAACATGATCAAGAGTTCAAGACTATAATAATTGCATTAACATCCAACAATACATCACCATAAAATGTCTAAATTAATGCAAGTAGGGTCATAATAGTCACTAATATCTGTGGAACCACTACATTATAAACACGTACACAGATTTCTTGCCAAGGCAGGAATAACAAACTGCGTCTAATATTGTATCTTCAATGTGTATTACAAACCAAATGTCATCAATCTCTTTATAAGTGTGTTCAAACTTTGTACAAAAATACCTACCTAAATTTCTAAAAAAAAAAACAAAAGAAAATGTTACGTGCCACTATGCTTAGTTGCTTACCAATTTTTTAATTTAAAAAATTTGTCATCATCACACCACGAACGGTCAATTCTACGATGAACTAATACATTCTTGATTATTCATACATAAATTATAAAACAATATCGAAAACTACATGAATTATATAAATATTTGAATTTCTATCATAATCTTTAGAATTGTGGTCGAAACCAACAATATTGTCATCGTGAGTTTGGCCGTTAGCTGCTGATGACTGAACTGACATGCAGTTACTCAAAACAACGTCGTTTTGTAATTTGAGTGTGAAAAACACAAAACCACGTCGTTTTGCCTAATGTTGGGAATTAATCGAAAAACTTTTTTTTCATCATTTTTTTTTGGTTTAGCGGAAAATTTCACAATTTCAAATCTTAAAACCTTAGAAGCAATCGTTTCTTTCTTCTAAACTATAGGTTGCTTGAAATATTCTAAACTGTCAAAACTATGTCTTAATTTCAGTTCATCATTGCATTTCGATGCTTCAGACATCATTCGATTGCTTTTAGGGTTCTTAGGATCTGAAATTGTGAAATTTCCCCCCAAACCAGAAACAAAAAATGAAGAGAAAGTTTTATTGATTAATTCCCGACTTAAAACAAACGATGTGGTTTTGTGTTTTTCACACTTAAATTACAAAACGACATCATTTTGAGTAACCACCTGTCGGTCCAGTCATCAGCAGCCAACGGTCAAACTCACGACGTTTACAGTATTGTTACTTTCAACCATAATTCTAAACGTTACGATGGAAATTCAAATATTTCAATAGTTCATGTAGTTTTCAGCATTACTTCATAGTTGATGTATGAATAATCAGGAATGTATTAGTTTATACTGGAATTGGCGGTTTTCCCACCACACCATTGTGGTTTCAAAAGCTGAACCCAAAATGTCAAAGTGGGTGTCCAAATCAAGAACAAAATCACTCCATATATGTGTAGAAACGACTCTTCTTCCCCTAAGCTTCTTCAACAAAAATTTCATACACCAAAGAAGTTCATTTATGACCCTTTTAATCTTATTCTTCTCGTTGGCAAAACCAATGAGGGTTTACTGAAGATTCTCTCTTATTCTTCTCATCAATGCAAGCAAGCAAACCCTTGTTGGTTTTCTCTTAGAATGAAACCAAAAAAGTTTCATCGAGCATCTGGAAGTGGAAACTGGTTGATGAACATCAATATGACTAAAACTTTTCCTGCTTCGTTTTCAATGACAAGTATCAACTCAAACATCTTCATGTTCGAACTGTTCAACACCTTCAAGAATCCTCAGGCTCGAGATCTTAGATTGCATCTCCTATTCTTGGTTTGAGACACCTCCTATGGTGGTCGTCAGGGATGAGACTCATGTATTTGGCGTTGGAGAGTACATTTTTGTGCTAGGAGGTAGCACAAGAGGAAGCCTAAGCCCTCAATATATTTGTCTCAAGACTAGATCATGGTCATCACTAGATAATCCACCAATCCCCGATGGTCAAGTAATCATGGTCGGTTCCTTTAATGGCAAAAGTATGGAAGTTTGGATGTCTACAGCAGAGCCTAACCGGTTAGGTTTTAAGCTGAGCTTGACAATGGAACTTTAAAATGGGAGAAAAATGTCTCTGACCTTTTACCATTTTGTATTTAAGGCTACTTTCACACTCTTCTAGTTGGACCAATAATTGTAAGAATTGTGGGATGAAGATCTATTGGTATGAGGAAGAAACCAGAGAGTGGCTTGTTGGGAAGGGTTCAAAACTTTGAAGATTAAACCTGTCAAACCCATGGATTTCGGTGGAACCTTGATCACTTTTGCCAAAGAGAAGAATAAGATTAAAGGGGTCACAAAGGAACTTCTTTGGTGTACGGAAGTTTCATTGAAGAAGCTTGGAGAAAGAAGATTCGTGTCATAATTCTAAAACGATCATGCCTTGAATCAAATGATAACTTTGTGATTTTTAGGTGATATTAGCAACAACAACAGAAAATTATAGGTTTGAAATTTAAGATCAATTGAAAACACCATATATAAATATATAAGTGGAAGAAGATAGTTACAGCAGATCGTCGAGATCGTATACTGTGGAGCATCACTAACTGATCTCAAAACTTTCATGAATTGGTCTTGTTCCTCGATAGGATCATCTTCTTTAACAGGATCCAAAATACATAATTAGCGCCATCAAAGTTCGTGTTTATGCAATTTTAAACAGAATTGTCTAACTGATTTCTGTTTTTTTTTTTTTTTGCTAAAGAGAAATATGAGATGTGTTAGTGTTACATTTTTTTTCCTGAACTACCTTGTTGATAAGCAAATATGAATTTTATTTGAAAAAAAAAACGATATACTTATATACACATGTTTAAATATATATTTTAGAGATATATATAAAAAAGTCGAGAAAATGTTTAAAATATTTTAAGGGCCAAGTAGAAAAAGGTCACATCTTGCCTTACCTAAAAAAGACATTTCATTGAAATCTTATCGGGACAAGTTACTATTTTTAATTAATGCGTATCCACTTCAAAAAAAACATGCGCAGCATTAACGGTGAATACACGTCAAATCACGTCGTCCACTATTTTTGTATAGTGTAAGATATTAGTATAAGTTTTATTTTTAACCCAAAAATATGATCAGTGTTTTTTTCTGCAACGAATTTACTTTTACTGTCAAGATATTTAGTATCTTGAAAACGTTAAAAAATTATTACATGAATACACTGGTAATAAATTTAAATGAACAAGAAGACTATCAAATATTTTGTGGAGGATAGTTGTATTGAAAAACTTTATTTTACTAACAAAGATAATGATTCTTTTGTATTGACATACTTATATAAAAGAGTTTACATCGTTTTAAAACTTGTCACAATCAGACCTTAACTCAAAATGGTCATTCACTTTATAAGCTGGATTGAAATAAATCGAATCTAATTCCATTCTTTTGTTCATCCCTATCCCTATTGATTTGCCAGATCTTATGCACATCACATTGTTTGGATAAGATAAGACAGAGAACGTTTCTTTCTACTCCACTTAGTCATCGCATATTAAACAAAGTAAATAACTTCATTAATATAATCATTTGAATTTTCTCTCTGTTTATGTATATAACAAACTAGAAATTTGTACATAATCAGTATCCTCATAGTATATACATTGAGACAACTGATAAGTCCACAAACAAATGGAAGAATCAAGCCGTAGTGTTGTCTTCGACAAATACGCGATCGGAAAACTTCTCGGAACCGGTAATTTCGCCAAGGTATATCACGGAACAGAGATCTCCACCGGCGATGATGTGGCAATCAAGGTCATTAAAAAAGACCACGTGTCGAGACGAGGCATGACGGAACAAATCGAGAGAGAGATCTCCGTCATGCGTCTCCTCCGTCACCCAAACGTCGTCGAGCTCCGTGAAGTGATGGCCACAAAGAGTAAGATCTTCTTCGCCATGGAGTACGTCGACGGCGGAGAGCTTTTCGAGATGCTCGACAGAGACGGGAAGCTCCCGGAGGATCTTGCGCGGAAATATTTTCAGCAATTGATATCCGCCGTCGATTTTTGCCACAGCCGCGGCGTTTTCCACCGCGATATTAAGCCGGAGAATCTGTTGCTCGACGGAGACGGAGATCTTAAGGTTTCGGATTTCGGACTTTCGGCGTTGATGATGCCGGAGGAGCTAGGTGGGCGCCGTGGCAGCAGCGACGATCTTCTCCATACTCGGTGTGGGACGCCTGCTTACGTGGCGCCGGAGGTTCTTAGGAATAAAGGATACGACGGAGCTATGGCGGATATTTGGTCGTGCGGCATCGTTTTGTATGCTCTTCTTGCTGGCTTCTTGCCGTTTATCGACGAAAACGTCATGACCTTGTACACGTAAGTCTTAACCGGTTAAACAAATCCAACCCGTAGCTAGAACCAGGTCGTACCTATAATTGTTTCTTTTTTTCCTCTGTTGGTATAAATTTAGAAAGATTCATCTACCACATATTTCAAAAAAAAGGAGTTTATAATTTTTAGTTGTAACTCGAGAGCCATTTGTATTGTAGATATTTAAAATATGTTTTTTTTTTGGGGTTTCACGAAAAAAATGGAATTTTTCAAAGCGAGAGACTAAATTAAAACTGAAATTAAAGTTTGGAACACAATAAGCTTATCACAGACTGTTTCTTCTCTTTGTATAAACCTGTATAAATGTAAGCACGATTGTGGTTTCTAAATCTGAGATTGTCCACTTTGGGACACACTTTATTTTCAATTTTGTGCTCCACACTTGTCTTTTTTGTGTTACGATTTAATACCGTACTAGATTTTCGACTCATGCACTTGCGTGGGTTTCTTTTTATAAAATATTTTTAGATCATAGCAAAAATCGATTTAATTATAGTAAATTTTTGTTCAAAAGAAAAATTAGTATATATTATTAAATCTAAAATTGTGGTCCAAACAGAATTTTTTTATTAGATTATATAAATAATTTTAACATTATGGTTTTATGTTCTTAAAAGTATTTAGGCTTGATTTTATAAAAAATAATATTTTGATTAGCAGATTTTTTGTTCAGTTTTGTAACAAATATTTTAAAATATTATGTTTTACAATGCAAGAGAGATTTTATTTGTTTGTAATTAAAATTCTTAGGCTTTGTTTATTTTTGCCTCCAGATACTTATTTGGATGCAAATGCTCTCAAATATTATTTTTTCAAATATTTTTAAATTAGTATATGAATATTTTATCTGAATACAAATTCTATAATATCTCAAAATTTAGATATTTAAAATGCTAAAAATAGAGATTTGATGCAGTATTTGAATCTCAAAAATTAACAGATAAAAATATTATTTAATTTAAACCACATAATCAAGTTATTTTATCAAAACCATTTTTTCTATCGAAATAAAAATTCGCATTTTTCCGCAAAATCGTAAAATTACGTTGTTGTACCAAAACCAAAAATTCTGGTAGAAACTATAAAAATAGCATTTTCCATTAAACCGTATTTTCCTGCCAAAACTGTAAATCCACATTTTTTAACAAAACCAAAAATTATGCTTTCCCCCAATATCATAAAATCGTATTATATGACTAAATTTCTAAAATTAAGTACTTTTTGTCAAACTTGCAAAATTGCATTTTATCGTCAAACCCGCAAACCTGCATTTTCAATAAAATTCATAAAACCACATTTTCTACCAAAACCTATAAAACCTGCAAAAACATGTAAACTTCGTAAAATCCACAAAATCACATTTCCCGCCAAATCCACAAAAATCCGTGTTTTTCCATAATTTTATAAAATCCGTAAAAATGTGTTTTACAACTAAATTTCTAAACTCATGTGTTTCTGCCAAACTCACAAATCCGCATTTTCTCGCTAAAACCTGTAAATCCTATAAAATCCGCAAAATTGCGTTATTCGCATTTCACAAACCCGTATTTTCCCATAAACCCGTAAAATCTGAAAAATCGTGAGTTACAACTAAATTTCTAAAATTATGTGTTTCTGCTAAATCTACAAAATCACATTTGTTGTCAGACCGGCATTTTCTCAGAAAACTATATTTTCCACTAAAATTTATAAAACCCGCTAAAATTTATAAAACCCATAAAATCTACAAAATTGTGTTTGTCAATCCGCAAACCCATAATTCCCCGTAAAAAAATTATTAACAAACCAGAAAAACTAAATTATTTACATATTTTTTTTTTCATATTATGTATATATGTAACAAAAAAATAATGATTATATATTCATCATTGACTATAAATTGTCACATTTTTTTAAATACTATAATAATTTAAAAAAAATTCAACTTTGTGCTTTTCTTTTAATACTATAGAGAAGAAATTGATTATAATAATATATATATTTAATTTATCATATAATATATATAATTATATTAGTTATTCATGCCATATATATGTGGTAGTTATGTTAAAATATTATGAAAGATTTTAAAATAATTTTAAAAATAAATTAATTTGAATTTTATTAGTATCAGATATGATTTATTGGTATTATCTGTTAACAAACTAATATAATTTAATTTAATTTAATTTAATGTATTTGTTAACAGTTTAATGATAAGACTAAATTATTTTTAATGAATCTATAGAAATTTAATGGCATATATTCTAAATAACACATTAACTAAAGGTTAATTTAAAAATAAGATTCTTTTTTAATAGCATAGATGAAACGATCTAATATATTATAATAAATAGTAGTAAATACAGAAAAATGAATCAAGGTTGGGATATGTTTTTATATATATTATTTGTTGAGGAAATTCAAAATTTTAAAATTGAACTTTATCTGAATTAGTGAAATTATAATTTAGGTAGCCAAATTTTCTGAATCTAGTTTGCTATTTAAAATTATCGTCCCATAATTAGTGAATAAATTTTATATAATATTTTTAAATAAAACTAGGTTACTATCCGCACATTCGTGCTGAGTAATATTTATCATAAAATAATTGTTAAATAGTATGTCTAAGAATATTAATAAAAAATAATTTAATTTTATTTTAATTTATATATATTTATATTAATTTTATACCATATATTTGTATCTATTTTGTGCATACCGCTTTTAATCATTTTGACTTCCATAACCAAATTTAAATATTATTTTTATTCATGAAAAATATTTTGCCATGTATAATTGGTAATCAAATATAATACAATAAAGTTTGATTTTAAGAAATATTATATATATTATTAAGTTTTTTGCGAACTTTTTTTTATATAATTTAGGATCTAAATGTTAATTAGTGGATATTATGAAAATAAATATTTTTGAAATTGTAAGAAAATTAGATTTCAATTAAGTAAATATGTTTATTGTAGTGTATCTAGCGATTTTAATGTTCTATTAATACTCTTTTGTCAAATCTTATAATTTCTAAATTTCATTAAGTTTATATTGATATAGATTTTTTTTTCCTAATATTAGATATATTGTATTTACGTAATTATAAATTCTTAGTTATTTATTTGGAAATATCTATAATACAGAAATGCTATCCTAAACTAAAAATATTCTTAAAGATTTATTATTAATTTGATTAGTTAAGATATTGTAAAATAGCTTTTTACATTTAATAGAAAAAATATTGTAGGATCCGAGTATTTTTATGAAAACTATTAATGTAATTCGTTTTTAATTTTTATTTAAATAAATAATGCATTTCTAATTAAAGAATCAAATAAAAATTAATTTTCAAAAAAAATTTGGTGATACATCAGCAAAAATGGCCAAAAATGTTTAATGTATAGTAGATTATGTACTTTTTTTTTTAAATACCCAAACCGGGTCGTTTTTTCTTAATCCAAGACTTGGTTCAACAAAACCTGTCTATGATTCGAGTCAAATCGTTTGACTAAAGCTTTCGTGCAATGCTATGAACAGGAAGATCTTTAAGGCGGAAATCGATTTCCCGCCATGGTTTTCCCAAGAATCGAAGGAAATGATCTCAATGTTGCTCGTGGCTGATCCTGAACAACGGATCACAATGTCAGAGATCAAACGTATCCCATGGTTCCGGAAGAATTTTACGCCGCCGGTAGCTTTTTCAATCGACGAGACGATCGCTTCTCCGCCGGAGCCACCAGCAAAGAAGAAGAAGAAAGGCAAAAACACGGCGGAAGAAGACGACGGAGTTTCTCCGAGATCGTTCAACGCATTCCAATTAATCTCATCAATGTCTTCAGGTTTCGATCTCTCAAGCCTATTCGAGATAAAACGGAAACCGAAAAGGATGTTCACGTCAAAGCTACCGGCGATATCAGTGAAAGAGAGGTTAGAGACGGCGGCGCGTGAGATGAACATGAGGGTAAAACACGTGAAAGACTGTAAGATGAAGCTTCAGAAGAGAACGGAAGGGAGGAAAGGGAGGCTTTCGGTGACGGCGGAGGTATTCGAAGTCGCTCCTGAAGTCTCCGTCGTCGAGTTCTGCAAATCGTCCGGCGATACTTTGGAGTATTACTTGTTTTGTGAAGATGACGTAAGGCCAGCTCTCAAAGATATTGTCTGGTCATGGCAAGGTGATGATGACGACGACGATGATAATGATAATGCAATAAATAATAATACTTCATGAGCTGTAATATTTCAAATTTTTTGGCATTGCGAGCGAGAGCAAGATTGTCCTATTGTGAAATTACATAAAAATAATTTACATTATAATAAAATATAACACAAATTATTTATTAGTGCTACAATGTATACAAACCACAAACCGGTAAAACTGAGTTTTAATTACCGGTTATTTCACAATCAGTCTCTGTGTGCTCTCTCTCATGAGCAAAAGTTGTTTCACGCAGCAAGCAACTTCTTGATGTCTTTCTGCAAAACAGCAGAAACAAAATTTGTTTGGTTACAAAACTAGGAAATCAAACCGGTAAGAACTAAACCGGAAATAGTTGTGTTAAACCGTACCTCGATTTGGAAAGGGGATGTGGTTGGAGGATACCTCTCAACGACCTTACCCTTTTTATCAATCAAGAACTTCTCAAAGTTCCATTTAACGAGATCACCTAAGAATCCTCCTGCGTTTGATTTCAAGAACTGGTAGATAGGTGCAGTGCTCGGTCCATTCACATCGACCTGTGGGGAAATTCATAACTTACTTCCAAATCTTGCAAACCGGGAAAGAACATTTGAACGTTTTGGATTTGGATTGTTTATTACCTTGTCAAATATAGGGAACTCTGCTTTAAACCGGGTACAAGCGAATTGTTTGATCTCAGGGTTAGAACCGGGCTCTTGGCCACCAAATTGATTGCAGGGAAAAGCTAGAATCTCAAATCCTGTAAGCATAACAACAACAACAACAAATGTTTTGTAATGTGTAACTACATAATTCATCGAATAAGATTTGGCAACATTAGGACCGAAGCATATTGACACTGATAATGATATAAAGATCTACAACAAACATATCGACACTGATGCCAGAGAGCAAGCAAAGCAATGAATTCTCAATCAGGATCAAACACCAAAATGTCCAAAAATGGGATGATGCATATATGAAAATGAACTCCATGAAGGCGATATCTTCACTACACTTATGAAAGAGCTAATTAAGATAAAACTCACCTTGGTTCTTGTATTTCTCGTACAGATGTGAAAGCTCTGAGTAATTTGATGATGTCAAACCACTGCGAGTTCATAAAACACAATCTTGAAGATCAGAAACCTCTACATGAACTAAGAACAAAGAACAGAAACGATTTCTATATCACATCAAGAGGATAAAGTTACCATCTTGAAGCGACATTGACGATCAACATAACTTTCCCCTTGAATTTGTTCAAAGAAACATCGTTCCCATCAATGTCCTGTCTCCAACAAAATATAAAAAATATTCAAATTTCAAATTTTTACGAAGTTTGTCTCCAATAGAAATCACTAACATAAATGTATATACACTTCGATATTCAGTAAGATAGAATACTTAAGCTTCAACACAATCTGAAAGATTCCCAATTGAATTTTAAATCCCTAGCTTAATTGGGTTAAGAGAATAAAGACCAAACCTTTACGGTGAAATCGTGAACGGTCTTCTCTGCAGCAGCTCGAGCTTGAACATTGAAATGCCGGGATTTGAAGAGGAACCCAGGATTAATCGGAGATTTTAGAGAGAACCCATTGCTCAGATTCGCGAAATTCGATACGACGGTGGAAAATTTCAAAGAAGGGACGAGAAAAGCTGCAGGTGGATTAGGTCTGGAACCGTTGAATATTGCAGAGAATGGTGCGTAAGAAGAAGAAGAAGCCATGGAAGCTATTGTGGTTACCGGAGACGAGTTTATCTTCTTTCTTTTTTTGGTAAACGAGTTTATCTTCTTCTGTACTTTCGAGTTTCGACCCCTACTTACTAGAGAAACTGAGAGTTGAAGTCAGAGAGCAATTTATATCATGCCCAAAACATTTTTGTCTTTTTTTTAGATAGATAATAATACAAAATAATTAAAAATAACGTAATTCTATAGTACCATTTTTTCAAAAGTTTTTTAGCCATAAAATAAATAATTTTTAAGTAAACAATGTGGTCCTAATAAAAGGACATTCTTGATATCTTCTTCACAATTTCTTTTCCAAATTTTGATAATCAAGAATTATATTCACAAAATATATATATATATATGGTTTTTATCCAAGATAAAAGAATGGTTCGAAAGGAGTGGTCCAAAATCTAAATCTGTCCTTGTTCATTTCCGAAAGCATTTAGGAATTTTTTTAGTTTGAGGCCCATATATTGGTGTTCTGAGATTTTCTGTTCGTCTTCCAAAAAGATTATTTTGAATTTTATTTTTTTTATCCTCGATTCCTTTAGCAGATCCCTATCCTAATTATCTGGCTATCGGTTCGAAAATGTTCATCTGTTGTACTCAAATGAATAGTTCTTTCTAACAGGTGGCAAATGGGTAATGCCTTATCCATTATAGTTTTTTTTAATAATACATCTTTGAGATGTTGGATCACAAATAAAATAAGATATGACAACCAAATCTTTGTAATCTTTTTTAGTAGTAAATTATTGGAAGCTGGCTCTCTACGTCTCTACAATATCGGGCGTAAATAGTGACAGCACAATGTACAATACTACAAAGTCTACAATGCATAACAAACTATAGTCGAGTACAAGATTAGAATAATAAAATATTGAATAGTGAGTAGTGACCATACTAAATACGGTATGGGTATATCAATTATTAAATTTGATTTTTTAAAAACAGTAGAATAATTGATATATTTACGAGGTAGCGTGTGAAATGGGTGATGAACAACAAATACAAAAAATCCTAAAGCCGAATATATTACTGCACTAAAAAGTAAGTTTGATCCTCAAAACATAAAAAAACCAAACATTTTACACAGTAATTGATTTGTGGATATATAGCGACATGTAGTACGCTAGTTGATCGACATTGTAACAATGATTGAGCAGATTTAAGATGTGGTGCAAGCAAACAAAGAGTCGATCAATCATTTATTTTATCAAGGCTTTCCAACATTACAGGTGTGGGCGATGTCAATCCCATCCCATGTATTCCAGAATTGTTTTTGAGTAATGCTTTATGTTGCAATATCGATTATTTATTCACAAGGGTGAAAGAGCGAGGGTTACAGACTAACAGATTAAATACTTCTCTTAAATTATATGGTACATTTGAAAAGTTAGGAATAACAAAGTTTTCAACAAAAAAAAAAGATATTTCTTTCAGGGATACTGTTGAACTAGCAGTCCAAGAAGTTAGGAATTGGGAAATGGCAAATCTGATAGTAATAGTGAATGGAGAAGTGGAAACCCGAAATGCAAGATCAATTGATATGATGATTTTAGGTAGTGAATTCAAATGTCAAGTTGACGCATTTTGAATAAGTACGGATAAACTGTTTATGGAAACTTATTCAAAACAATTTGATTCAATAGCTTAGAATCTTTATAGGGAACTCGCTCAGTCACTATTACATATCGAGATAGAGACAACTTTATGGGCAATAAGATTTATTAAATAATTTAATATTATATTTATTCACTTTTAGACAGATTGTCTCCAGCTTAATAAACTTATTAATGGAGGTAAATTTAATTATTTGCATTTTGACTTTTTAGAGTTTTCTTATTATTTTTACCATGTTCTTGTAATGTCTGAGCCGATTCTTTTGCGTGTTCGTGATTTGATTCTCTCTCATGTAAACTTTATAGTTCTGTATTTAACTCATGAAGCTAACATATTTAAATTAATGGTTCAATTGTATGGATTTGTTTTTTTGTAAAAAAAGAAGAAGAATAATTAAAATAATTATTTTTCGTAGAGAATTAAAATAGTTGATAATTAATTTGTAGACTTTTCATATATTTAAATTGAAGAAATAAATAACCATATTTTAAATGAATGATAATTAATTCGATTTTACTTTTTTAAGTTTTACAAGAATTAAACCACTAAAAAAAATTACAAAGCTAGGAACAAATAAACATTTTCAGAAACTTAATAAATAGCATATATAGGTGTCAAAAGAATTTCGATTCGGGTTCGATTTGATTCCTATTGGTTCCGGGTCGGTTCGGTTCTTAAATCTCAGAACTGTTTGAAACCCAAAAAATCGATTTTCTTATATGTTTGGTTCGGTTCAGATTTTTTTTACTTGATTAAATCTGAAATCATTGAAAACTTAACCATATACCCGAAATGTAACCAAATATCCGAATATCTATAAATACTGTATCAACTTGTAAACTGGTTTTCGGATTAAATATATCTCGGAATCGGTAGCGAAAGAAATTCTAAATAGCTGACTGTAAGACCTATGAAACCGTATGTAGATCGACCTCTGGGTCCACCTGGTTCATCACAAAATCGCTTTGCAAAACTCTAAATATAGAAGTGCTTTTATTTCGATTAACCTAATGGATATCGAGTAGGAACCAGTCTGATACCCACAGTTTCTAAACTTAATACATGTTAGGTAAATAGTTAATAATTGAACCGATCCGAACCGGTTATTTCAAGTTAATTTCGGTTTGAGATTTTGGGTCCAAGTTTTTTACCTAAGCCTATACATAATCTTGATTTGATGTAATAAAATTGTTAGACAGGAAAAAAAACATATCACTTGTGGATGTTTTGGCTCTAAATATGAGCATATCAACAATTACACCAACAATCATACATCTGCATGGGTTTACTTGAATTCGAATTATTTGTTGCAAAGAATACCAAATCAGTTGACTAGATTAATGAAAAAAGAGGTTTGTTGACCGTATCTGCCTTTGTGTTGTTAGACATTGTTGCTCTTTTAGATTCTGAGAAAGTTTAAAATTAGTTATGTTGGTTTGTGTTTGATTAATTTCTTTTTTTTTTCCATTGTATTTTCTCTTAAAGGTTAGATTTCTTCCACCATCTTTAATTTAGTCAATAATCTCAGGTTTTTCCACGACGGTTTCTTCTAACTTCAGTTTTTTTTCTGTTTTCAGTGGTACATTCTTGGACTATGAATTCTGAGCTTAGTAGTGTCATATCTTATTTTTGGTCTGAGATTGAGAGACGGAAGTCTCTCAACTTTTATTATTCAAACTAACAACTCTTACAAATGCACAGATCGAACTTATGCAATACCATTCTCATCGTCTATGAATATAGAACTAACACTATCTGGAATAGACTCCAAAAACATAAAACCTAATGAAAGCGAGAAATCATAATTCACCAAGCTATCAGCCAAGCGATTAGATTCTCGATAGACATGCTTAACCCTGACTATCCAGTCCCTTGAGAGAAAGCCATAGCACAATCGTACTAGGAAAGACAAAGGGTGATAATCGCTTACCCTTGTCGTTAACAAACCAACCACAATCTCCGAGTCCACCTCAAGTATCAACCTGCTAACTCGGCGCTCTCATGCTATGTAGAGTCCATAATACACTCCCCAAAGTTCTGCTAACAGAGCTGAACAGATACCGATATTCAGTGCAAAGCCACCACACCACTGTCCCCTATCATCCCTCAAAGCTCCTCCGGCTGTTGCTAAACCCGGATTGCCCCGAGAGGCATCATCCGTATTAATCTTCATCCACCCTTGTTGCGGTTTAGACCAGTATATTTTTTGCTCCTCTCGCATAGTCACAACAGCATTTATTTTCAGTCTCGAGTGTGCTAGTGATACTTCTTGCGCTAGATCCCTCAAGTACCGGACCCTATCTCTACACCTTCTGTTTGAGCCAAATACATTCCCACACCTCCACTTCCATCCCCACCACACTCACGTTGAGAATAAAGTAGACCATATGGTACTTCTGACCACTCTTTCATCACCCAGATTATCATAGAACCACTCCAATAATGTCTTCTCAAAGAAAGCTCCTTGTCTTTCTGCTGGAACTATGCGAGTCCAAATACCTGCCATCGCCGGACAATCATGCAGTACATGGAGAATAGATTCTTCGCCTCCCTGCAGATTTGACAAACTCCAAAATCACTTAGATGCCTTCGCTGCATCTCCATATTCGTCATGATAACTTGATTTACAGTTAGCCACAAGAACACTCTCACCCGCTCATGTGCAATAACTTTCCAAACCCGCTCAAACAATCTCCGCAAATCCTGTCTTGGTGTCTTATTCTTTGTTATGAATGAGTATGCCGCTTTCACTGTAAAATTTCCATCTTGATTTTGCCCCCAAGGCATTCTGTCTTTAGCGCCAGTCACATCATCCAACACCACAACACCCAATCGTAGCCTAATGTTCGGTGTGATATATGGGCTAACGGTTTCCAGAAGCCAGCCAGTTCCATTTCGCCATAGATCTCTGACCCTCAAGTTTACCACCTTTTCCGGTAAGTCTTCTTCTGCTAACTTTAGTAATGGCATATTTAAAAGCCATTTATCTTTCCAGAAATGAATTCTCCAGCCATCTCCAATCACCCAGGACATCCATGGTACCACCACCTCTCTGATTCCTTTCACTATGCTTTGCTAAGTACTTGACCAAGATCCCTTCCTTAGAGTCCATGAGATGTCTTGTATATCTCCCACTTTATATTCCGTACGCAGTACCCTTGCCCATAGACTTGTGTCATCCTGCAGGACTCACCATCCTAACTTTGCTATTAAAGCAATATTCATCGCCTGAGCTCCTCGAATTCCCAGTCCTCCTTCTCTCTTCGATTGAAAAACCCGATTCCAAGCCATCAGATGTTGTTTCTTCTGTTCTTCAGAACTACCCCAAAGGAAGGCTCGTGAAAGCTGCTCCAACTTACAAATCGTTGACTGTGGCATGAGGATTGTACTCATCGAATGTACTGGAATTGATGATAGCACTGATTTGGTAAGCGTCAGCCTACCCGCCAAACTTAAGAAACGTCCTTTCCAACCTGCCAGTCGTGCTGAAACCTTCTCAACTACATCCACAAAGGTCTCTTTATTGATCCGTTTCTGTAGTATTGGCATTCTCAGTTACTTTCCTAAGTCACGTGTTGCTTTGATACCACTCTCAGTACTATTCCGTATCTCCAAACCTCTGCTGACATTCTCCAAGAAGAATATTTTGGACTTTTCTAAACTGACTTTTTGTCCAGAAGCAGATCAAAACGTTTCCAATACCTTATGTATCATCCGGATTTGGCTTACTGAAGCTTCTGCGAACAGAATCAGGTCATCGGTAAAACAGATGTGTGACAGTTTGGGGCCACCCCGCGAGAGACATATTGGCTTCCACTCTTTTAACTCAATAGCTTTCTAAATCAAATGGCATAGTCTCTCAATGCAGAAGACGAATAGGTACGGGGACAAAGGGTCGCTTTGTCGAAGTCCTCGCATTGGCTTAAATGAAGCTGTACGCTCACCATTCCATAACAAACTCATAGAAGGCCCTGCTACACACTCCATAATCCACCCTATCCATTTGGCTGGGAGATTAGCTGCCAGTAGAGTATCCTCCAGAAAGTCCCAGCGGATGCGATCGTAAGCTTTCTCCAGATCTAACTTCAACAGCATCCAACTTTTACCACCTTTCTTTCGTCTCATTGAGTGAACTGCTTCCTGCACAATAACTATATTATCCGCACTCAATCTTCCTGGTATAAAGCTAGTCTGTGCAGGGCCGATCAACTTAGGAATCACACGTTTCAGTCGCATCACCATAGCCTTCATTATTGTCTTGAATAAGACATTACAAAAATTTATTGGTCTGAATTGTGTAACCAACTCCGGCTTCAGAACTTTTGGTATTAAAACCAACATTGCATCATGTGTACCTGTTGGTAGAGCTCCTGAAGTGAAGAAAGCTAAGACAAACGAACCACTGAGTCTCCTACCACATCCCAACAGTTCTGATAAAATACTGGTTGGAAGCCATCTATCCATGGTCCTTTATATTTCCCCATGTTTCTCACCGTATCTTCCATTTCTATAGCATAAAAGGGTCTATTCAGGTCTCTCAATTCTTCTCGTGTAAGTGGGGCAAAGCCATCATGAGGTAATAGAATCACCGACTGCTCAACATCCTCCATAGAGTACAAACGTGTATAATATGCCAAAGCCAACTGTTCGAGCTCATGCGGCTGTGATACCCATCTTTCCTCATTATCCTTAGTCGTGTCATATCTATTGCTCTTCTCCGACTTTTCTCTGATGGATTTTTATTCTTTTAGTTTTTAAACTTATTAATGATTGATGATGTAAACTTACATTTCTAATCTTATTAATGATTTATGTTTTTTTTCTCTGGAAAATACTTTATTAATAAGTTGAGATTGTCACAATTTAGAACATGACTTATTACAATAGGAAAAGAATTATAAAAAAGAAACATTGCATCATTTGGTATTAAACTTGTAGCTAATAAGTGTGTTAGAGTATTTTCTTGTCTTCTTCTCTATTGAAAAATAATATTTTAGATTTTGTCATCCAATACCATATATTTCTAAGCTGTTTTATTCTCCATTAAAAACAATCTTTTAAAATTTTGTCATCCACTACCATATATTTCTAAGTCAATTTAATATGGGGTATTACAAAATTCAAAAAATTAAAAAAATATATTTAATCTTTTGTTTTTTTTCTTTTGTGAGTTTTGCTTCTTCTATTAAAATATTAATTTCAAAAATATTATGATTTTCTACCAACTTTATTTTGTATCATCTATTTTATAACATATCATGTCCTTATATGTATAAAATAAAATTTAGCAAAACAAAAAATTAATAAAAAATATTGTTATAAATAATACTTCATGAATTTCATGAAAAGTTTCACATAAAGAAAACAAGTTAAAGTTCTCTTATACCTTTTGTTCATACATTAAATAAAATTTTCTTTAGTCAATGCATTAAAGTACACAGGTTAAAAAAGGTAAACTGATAAGAAAACTTTAAAATGACATTTTTCTGAAATGGAAAAAATATAATTTATTTAAAATGATAGGAACACATAAGATTTTCAAAGTAGTCAACAAATATATATGTCATTAGTGAATAGTAAATGTGAGGCCTGGAATGAAATCAATACTCCCCTCTTCCCCACAACCTTTAGAGGAAGTAAATCATTTGGAGGATTCCAAAACAAGATCAAGAAGCCAAATTTATGACTCTGAAAATATGTTGAGTCCTTATAATCGGACGACAGAACATCATGGAATGAAAATAGTCTTTCACCTCTTCATTTGGAAATGCAAGCTTTACTGTGGGCTATGTCAAACATTATCTTCCTAGGAATTGACTGCTCGGACTTATAATTGGATTTTCTTTGAACAAATTAGTTGAATCAGTCTCCTAGCGAGTGGCATATCTTACTTTAATATATACACTGAACAAATCTATGTTGTTTTCTGGTAGTTTCGTAATTTCTCTTTGGTTTACAGCATGTGAGTTGGATTTTGTGACATTTTTTAACCTGTTCAATGAAAATTATATATTTTTGAATATTTTGTTTTGGTTTGTAATAAAATAAATATAAAAAGATTTGACAGAAACCAAAGTTTTCTTCCGCATTGATAATTAACGGAGGGCAAACTTTTTTGATAACATATTAGTGATATTAAAACAATTTTATATTCGGTTTTTAAAAGTCAACAATTTTATATTAGTGATATTAAAACAATTTTATATTCAGTGGTATATTATCACCAAAAACAACAATCCTGACATTCTCATTCTCAAGATTCAAGGTCATTCCTTTCACATTGTTGGCCAAAAAAACAATTTCTTCTACTTAAATATCGTTCAATCTATAAATTTATGCGAGAACAAAAAAAAAATTTATAACTTACATAAAATAGCTACTATTTTACAACCCTTTCACATATCAAAAATCTCTTTCATGGTTAGGGTTTTCATTAATGACTATTTCAGAATTAGATTTTGTAAACTCATTTTTTTAGTTGACATCTATTCATTATGCTATTTCTCATTTAAATGTATGGTCAACAAACAAACAAAAACTAATTAATGGATATGATAGCATAATAAATTTAGAATGAGCTTTGACTAAATGTTTAGTAATAAATGCATTATTTCTTCATTAAACACTTTTCCAAAACAATGAAGTACTAGTAATTGAATACATTCAAATATTTTCAATTGATATCGCTTCAAGTTTCCAATTTATTAACATTAATTACTAAAAATACATTAAGAAAGTACAAGAAATGGTCTAATATTTTTTTTCTGTTTTAAGACAGATTCAGGCAACGCCAAAGCCGTGAATGTGAAAAGGTAAGATGGACTAATAGTCTAATACTACATCGAGCAAATCCACAAATAGTTAAAAAAATATCCTGTAACACATTAGGCTGTGATGAAGGAGCAAAGAAAGCTTTAACAGCTGTAAAGATTTACACATCTCGAGTTAGTTATAATGAAGAAGTAACAAGAAAAGGGTGAAAAAAGTTGTATTTCGGCTACCAAAAAAAAAAAAACACTTTTTTGCCTTTATGGATTTGTACATCTGATCTCAAGCAGGTTCAAGTTGGTTGGTCTTTTTTCCCTTTCTCGTCTCGATCGAGTTTCTTTCTCCTAACTCCAGAATTTGGTTCTTGAGGATCTCAAAAAAGGTCTTTCCTTTTTCTTCTTCTACCTAGAGATTGTAAGTTGCTTAGCTTTCTTGCATAAACTTTATAAAATCTGAATCTTTTTCCGATTGAAATAGTCAAACATATCCGCATCTAGGTCTTCCCTTTTTTGTTCGAATCGATGTCTTTGTCATGAGTAGTTTCTTGTTTGGTCGAATCAACTCAAACCCCTTTTCTTTCTTGGCCTCTGTGACTCTGTCCTGAGTGGTTCTTAGTTGATGTAGGTAGAAATATGATTCTGATTGGTCAAAGCGAGCTTCTTTCTTGATTCGGTTACTGTGATTTTGATTATAGAGAACGGATTGTGTAATATTCTTGTTTCTTTGCAGATAGAAATGGGTACATACCTAAGCTCTCCGAAAACTGATAAGTTATCAGAAGAAGGTGAGAATGATAAGCTGAGATATGGCTTATCGTCTATGCAAGGTTGGCGTGCCACCATGGAAGATGCGGTGAGTCAAAATCATAATCGGAACATCTTATTCATATGTTTGCTCTAAGTTGACCATATGGAACTTATTCAAAGTTGGAATCTTTGTTTAATTTTGATAGCATGCTGCGATTCTTGATCTGGATGATAAGACATCTTTCTTCGGTGTTTATGATGGCCATGGAGGTAAGGAACTACTCTGCTTTTTTACTTTAATATCATAACCCAGTTCAGGTGACTTTATAATGCTAAATCAAATGAATGGTAAGAATAAGACTTAAGCTAGTTTAAGTACTTAGGAAAGGAAGTTCTTCTTGAGGTTCTTGACCACTTGAACTTCTGCTTACATCGGTGCATATACTTACAGTGTTTTGCTCTTTAGTCTTAACATTCCTTTTGGATAATATGGAAGTAAAAGTAAATACTTACTAAATGGTGTAGGTAAAGTTGTAGCAAAGTTCTGTGCCAAGTATCTGCACCAGCAGGTTCTCAGTAATGAAGCATATGGAGCTGGAGACATAGAAACGTCTCTTCAAAGAGCATTTTTTAGGTTTCCTTTTCTCTTTTGCATTCTCGTATGTTTGATTTACTCTTACAGCAAAAGAGGGTTCCAGTGAAAAAGTGTTCATTGTGAATATTATTATAGAATGGATGACATGATGCAAGGACAGAGAGGATGGCGGGAGTTAGCTGTACTCGGTGACAAGATGAACAAATTTAGCGGCATGATTGAAGGATTCATATGGTCACCAAGAAGCGGTGACTTCAATAACCAGCCTGATAATTGGCCTCTTGAGGATGTAAGATCCTTCATATAATCCGTATTCTGGAGAAGATTGTATTGGGACCTTTAAGGTTTAAAACCGGTGCCTTTGTTCATATACAGGGTCCTCATTCTGATTTCCCGGGACCTACTTCCGGGTGTACAGCATGTGTTGCTCTTATTAAAGATAAGAAGCTCTTTGTTGCGAATGCTGGTGATTCGCGTTGTGTGATATCGAGGAAGGGACAGGCGTACAATCTTTCTAAAGATCACAAGCCTGATCTTGAAGTTGAAAAAGAAAGGATATTGAAAGCTGGTGGTTTCATTCACGCTGGGAGAATCAATGGAAGCTTGAACCTGACAAGAGCCATTGGTAAAACTTTTTGTTTCCTTCCACTTTCTGAGATTCAGTGTTTTTTACATGTAATCTTGGTTTGAAGTATTGTTTCTACTTCTTTACAGGTGACATGGAGTTCAAGCAGAATAAGTTCTTACCATCTGAAAAGCAAATGGTTACTGCCGATCCAGATATAAACACTGTAAGAATCTACCTAACATTTTTGTGTTTTGCGCTCGGTCTTGTTTCTTTTAGGCTGATTTGTTGTGGTCTTCTCTCTCTCATCAGATTGAACTATGTGATGATGATGAGTTTCTCGTTGTTGCTTGCGATGGAATCTGGTAAAGAAAAACCCGTAATCGTTTCATTTTTCTGCATATGAGTTTAGTTTCTTGATGATAAATGTGATTTGATTTCATCTTCCTCAGGGATTGTATGTCAAGCCAGCAACTGGTGGATTTCATCCATGAACAGTTAAAATCTGTAAGTTAAATCATTTTTCCTTCTCCTCCTCTCTCTCTCCATCACAGTCTTTGTCCTCTCCATGTCTGTGACATGGGTGAAAACTTTCAGGAAACAAAACTTTCGGCTGTATGTGAAAAAGTTGTTGATAGATGTTTGGCTCCAGACACTGCGAGTGGTGAAGGTTGTGATAATATGACCATCATTGTGGTTCAGTTCAAGAAGCCTAACCCTTCAGAGACCGAACCAGAAGAAGAAGAAACCAAGCCAGAACCAGAGCCAAGCCAGGACGAGCCGAGCTCATCAAGCTAGATGTCCTTAAAGAGCCTAAGAAGAAGATTTGGAAGTCTCATATCGTTGACTTTGGTTCAACATTGTGTAAATGCTTTTGAATGGCTTTAAGAGAAGCAGGAGCTGGCGTTTATTCGGATTTTAGTTTTTAACTAAGTTTACACAGCTTCTCGTTACTCTCACATAGACACTGGTTTCATCGGTTCCTGTAATCAAAAGCGACTTTGTATATGTCTTTGTGATTTATGGGAAAATGTTGTTAGGATATTTTCACATTCACAAACAAATCCATGAGATTTACAGAATGTTGTTTTCTATCTTGCTTCTTCTAAATCTATAAGCTAAACAATCTTTTTCATTTTTCTTGTATTTTCATAGATCTTTATGGTGTAGAGATATTACCAAAGTTTTATGAGAAAATGTTGTTAGATCTTAAAATTATGATGTACAACAAACAACACCATGAGATTTACAGAATGTTTTTTTTTTTGCTTAACAATTTACAGATATTACCAAAAAAAAAAAAAAAAAAAAATTTACAGAATGTTGTCTTTCTTTATTTTGCTTCTTCTAAAAATCTCTAGCTAATTTCACACAATCTTTTTCATCTTCCTTGTAGTGTATTAATGTTTAAACTTCTTTGGCTGAGACAGTGACATAACAATAATCTCTATGGGAATCTGCAGTTTTGGATTTCACCATTTTAATAGTTCTCTATGGTGTACATATTATTGTTTCAAAGCAAGATTTAAGAGAAATATGATCATTTTCTGGCAATCTTGATTAATAATAAATTAAATTGAGTATTAAAATAGTAAGAAGGAGCCGATGCTAACAAAGATAAAAAGAAACTCAAACAGAAAAAAAAGAAGCTTTTTGAAACAAAAAGCTCATCCACAATAGCAAAACCCACATGGTTCCAAATCAGAACCAAGCCCATAGGCCAAGAACAAGGCCTAACACAGCAAACCCACCACTAAGCCTAGCTGAGCCGCTGGTTGGGGCTGGAGCCACGGCTGGACCATCTTCAAACTCAACCGGAGAAGGAGCCGGAGAAAAGGCAACGTGACGAGGACTGATTACAACAAGGCTTAGCTTCTGACCTTTCTCACAGTGACCATCAGCTCCACTAATGAAGTAAAACGGACCAGATTGGTCCAATTTCACCTTGGTCTCTCCATCGGTGTAGTTAGCCAATGGATTCGTGGTGTTGCAGCTCTTGTAAGCATCGCTTGTTACTTGCAAAACCGAGTCTTTACCAGATTCGTACCTGAAAACTGATGAAAAACAGATGGTTGCGTCAGGAACAGAGCATTTAGTTAGAAAACAGAGCATCTTGTAGAAAACAGAGTATTTAAGAAGAAATCAGACGCTGAGGAGAAGAGATTTAAATGGTGGGTACCGATAAAGTCGCCGACTTTGAAGCGAGCTTTTGAAGCCCATTCGGTAAATGAGTAAGAAGAGGAAGGAGGGATCTTCCAGTCGCCGGATTTTCCACCGACGGTGACTTCATTTGCAGCGGCGGGAGAGCATAAGAAGATGAAGGAGAAGATGATAGCCATGGGAAGCGAAGAAGAAGCCATAGATTCAGAATGAAAGAAGAGAGTTTTTTTGAAATAGTTACTAATTAAAGAAAAATAGAGAAATTTAGTCGTTGGATTTAGGGTTACTAATGTGGTGGAGATTTTGTTGACTGTAGAGGAGGAGCTCTTGTGAGGTTTTTATAGTGGTGAAAATTCGAAAACTAGCCGTTGGCATTATCTAATTTTGTTATATGAAAGAAAATAGTTTTAGATGAGAAAAAATGTAAAGGTGTTACTGTAGCCGTTGGGAAGCTGCGATATGCAACGGTTAAAGAAATTTTGAAAAATCGGAATAATGGTTCATGCATTTGTGTCAGCCAAGCCATGAGTGTTTTCTGTTTTTCGCTTTTATATTTGACAAAATATATAGTGATTTTCAGGAGAAATAAACGTAGTAGTAAAAAGGTAAAAATAGTTCTTATATTATTATATTCAAACTAAATTTTGATCAGGGCAATATACAGATTTATTTATTAATTTTATAATTTTATATATTTATAATATTATTATTCTATATTATAGTATGTTATATTTATTCTTTTTAAATATTTTTTATTTTTTTATTGTCCACGCGTTGCACGAATTTGTGATATTTTAATTATTTTAATTTTATAATCTTTTTCATTGTATTTGTTCGTAACGATTTGATGATAAATATTAATTTTTAAGTTTTGAATACTATGTAATTTTTAAAAAAATTGTATTAAAAAGTTGATGAAATAAAATATTAAGTTTGACTCTGTTAAAAAAGTGAAGCTGTCATTGGAGATGACCGAGAAGAAGGTGGTGGCGGTTTGAGGTCAATGCAGTATTGAAGGAATTAATAAGCCATTAACGTAAAAATAAATTATGAAAGCAAATATATAGTGTATGATTTTCAGTTTGATTGACCACAAAAAAGTTACGAATAAATAAATTATTTTTTCTCGCAGAAACATTGACATAATCAACTTTTAAAAGTTAATTTTTTCTAAAATAATGTGAACTAGGTGATCGATCTGTACGGGCTATAAAATATTATATATGTTAAATATATAATTAATATTGTATATTGAAAAATACTCTATTTATATGATTAATTATGGACACTGTATGAATATTTAATAATAAAAATAATTATAGCTGAAATGGAAAATGTTATAGATCGTAATAGAAAATTCTTGATAAAAAATATTAATCAAGAATATAAAATGGTTTCTTCGAATAAAAATGGTAAATATAATAACTAAATAAATTGAAACTATTAAAACATATAGATAGAGTTCCCAAAATATCAAAAACATAAAATTAAGAAAGATTTTGAAACACTTCCTTAGACAACTTTCATAGTTTTTTTTTGCACTTTTTCTTCTTTGTCTGTTATGAGAATTTTAAGTCTAGATCTAGACTTAACTCTAGATAATACAACATATAGCTGTCCATGAGAGAAAACTGGTCTAGGTAGAAACAAACTGATATTCTCAAGTGATTGTCCTTGGCTTTTGTTGATAGTCATTGCGAAAGCTAAAGTCAAAGGAAACTTTCTACGGCGCATTCTGAAAGGAAACCTTTTATCTGGTGGTGTAACATACATCCTATGGATTAGAACCAGAGCCGTACCAAGGTAATTTGATGCCGTAGGCAACAATAGTTTTTCTTTTAATCATACAAAAAAAATAATTCATATAAAAGATCAAAATATATAATAATAAAAATTAATTGAACTAGAAAAATAAATATCGTATAATAATTAAAAAAAACAAACACGACAATAGTTCAAAACGTATTTCTTCTTCAGTTTTTCCCTGTAAAATCACTAACCAACCTTTCAAAATCAACTTCTCTAACCAGTTCTCTTTCAATTGATAAAATCGTCAAATCACTCAATCTTTCTTGTGATGTACTCGAGCTATGATATGATTTTATCAATTTCAACTTTGAAAAACTTCTTTTAGCAGATGCAACAGAGACTGGAATAGTCAACAATACTCGATAAGCGATCTATGAGTTGGTGGCATCTATAAATTTAGAATATAATGTTACGAATGTTAAAAGTGATTAAGAACTATATAAAACAAAGAAGTAAAATTGATTAAACTCACTCTAACAATGAATTGATGATGTTTGATAAACTGGGTTCTTAATCTTTCCTTGAATAAGTGTAAAAACGACGGCAAAAGAAAAAAAAATGTCACGAACTCTAAGCTAATCTTTTTAATTGTTTTTAGTTTTTTTTTTTTTAATAACTATTTTATCATAATTGTTTTTGTGTTTAAAGATAAATATAATGTTTTGGGTTTGACCTTACTTATTTGGGATAAACCATACTTATAAACAATAATTAAAGCTTTACTAATTTTTTTTTTTTAAAATGGGGCCGTAGGCGAAAGCCTCAAAATCGAAAGGGTAGGCACGGCCCTGATTAGAACTACTTGACCAATCATTTTCTCATTTCCCATTATAATTCTACCTTCAACCACATGTCTAGCCATTTGAGTAATAATAAGTCTAGTTCTGTTGCATATTCCACCCTTAAGATCTCTGTTACGAAGACACATGACATGAGTACCAACCTTCAATTTCAAGCAATGCTTCGGTAATCCAGAAACTTTGATGTTATTCAAAACTCAGTTGGGTACCCCACCTTTTTCAAGTAATAATGCTAACAGAGCAAAGATATACTTTCTCATCACCTGAAATATATATATATATAATAAGAAAATCAGTTGTGAACATACCAAGAAACACATAAAAACAATTTAAAAAGATATAAAGTTTTGGAATTCTAAAATATGTATTATAACTACAATGATATTCTTTTAATTACAAGTTAAGAAATTAGTTACATATGTTTTAAACCAAATTTAAACAGAAATAAACAAAATAGTATCACAGCTTAACTAAACTTAACGTTTAAAGTAATTTATGCTTTGTACATTATGAATGCAGTATATAATATGGTAGTTATATTTATGAAAGTAAACCAAAGAAAGAAATGTATGATAAGATATTTGATATTTATTATAACAAACCTATAATAAAATGGTTATTCTATAAATTTTGTAATTTTAAATGCAAATTTGATATTTAAAAAAACATGTGAATGTAAAATAACAAAACAATTCAAAATAGAAATGAAGGTGAAAATAATTTAAAAACATAATCTGGCAATTTCGAAAGAATGTAGTCATTAATCTGATCGACATCATCATTTGTAGGGCTAAGGATTGCCATAGTCTTGTAAAAATTCAGATCAGAAGACTTTGTTGAATAATCTCTATAAACCTCGCGAACAATAGTTTCAATAGGATCTCCACATTCAGTTATCAACAAATCTTTGGGAATATCAATTTCAACTAAGCCGCCGTTTGGTAGGTTAATCTTTCCATCACCAATATCCAAAATTCATTCAGAGAAAGCTTTAAGATCTTCAGCATCGTGATCACTAAGCCCAGCAAGTAATCTCATATTCTTTGTAAGCTTCAAAACCTTGCAATGTTCCCAAAGGTATTCTGTATTTAGAGATGCCAAAACGGTTTCTGCTCTGCTAATTCCAGTGATAACAGGCAGAATCTGGCTAAAATCAGCACTAAACACAACTACTTTGGCTCCAAATGGCTTATCCTCTTTTGATCTGATAATATCTCGGTAAGCTACGATCTAAATTCTCAAAGCAATGCCTACTCATCATAGGAGCTTCATCCCACACTATAAGACTTGACTTCTTCATTAGTTCAGCAATATCTGATCATGGACTCATATTGCAAGATGTGAATTCTCCTGGTGTAATTGGGAT